CCTACACCCCCACTCCCCCCCTCCCCCCCACTACACTCCCCCCCCCACTACACCCCCACTCCCCCCCACTACACCCCCACTCCCCCCCCACCCCCCCCCCCCCTCCCCCACTACACCCCCACTCCCCCCCACTACACCCCCACTCCCCCCACTACACCCCCACTGCCCCCACTCCCCCCCACTGCCCCCCACTCCCCCCCCACTACACCCCACTCCCCACTACACCCCCACTCCCCCCACTCCCCACTACACCCCACTACACCCCCACTCCCCCCCCCCACTACACCCCACTACACCCCCACTCCCCCCCACTCCCCACTACACCCCACTACACCCCCACTCCCCCCCACTACACCCCCACTCCCCCCCACTACACCCCCACTCCCCCCACTACACCCCCACTCCCCCCCCACTCCCCACTCCCCCCCCACACCCCACCCCCCACCCCCCCCCAAAAAAAAACACCTCTCCAGGGAATGACCGTGACGGACCGCTCTCCGTTCGCTGTTCCCACCATCTGAAGCAGAGGGAGAGGGGACGGGGCGGCGGCGGCGGAGGAAGTGCTTCATAAAGGAGGGCTTTTTATTAATATTATTATAATTATTATTATTTAACGAGAGAGAGAGAGAGAAACAGCCCCCTCCCACCCCCCCACCCTCCTCACCCTCCTCACCCCCACCATTGCTCGGCTCGGCGCCGACATGGCGACTCTGCTCCGCAAGATCGGTCTGATTCGCCTCCACGACAGAGACACGGAGGGTCCGAAGCACCAGGGCTCCCGCAAGGCGAGCAAGAGCGGCGGCCAGAAAAGCAGCAGCAGCAGCAACAGCAAGCAGTGCAACACCCCGAGCAACGAGAGCATCGTGCTGCAATCCGACCTGCACCAGCAGCAGCAGCAGCAGCAACAACAGCAACAACTTCAGCAGCAACAACTACAACAACAGCAGCAGCAGCAGCAGCAAAGCCACAAGAAGTACGAGCCGCCCCCAGTCACCAAGGACAGCGGCAAGGACAGGCAGCAGCAGCAGCAGCAGCAGCAGGCTGGCAGCAAGGTGCCCCCGGCCAGCGCCAGCAGCACGGGCGGAGGGGCCGTCCCGGGGCAACCCCCCAACAAGCAGCACTGCGCCCAAGTGCGGAGCCGCCGGCTGATGAAGGAGCTGCAGGACATCCGCAAGCTGAACGACCACTTCATCAGCGTGGAGCTGGTGGACGACAACCTGTTCGAGTGGAACGTGAAGCTGCTGCAGGTGGACAAGGACTCGGCGCTGTGGCAGGACATGAAGGAGACCAGCACCGACTTCATCCTCCTCAACCTCAACTTCCCCGATAACTTCCCCTTCTCGCCGCCCTTCATGAGGGTCCTCAGCCCCCGCCTGGAGAACGGCTACGTGCTGGACGGAGGCGCCATCTGCATGGAGCTGCTCACCCCGCGGGGCTGGTCCAGCGCTTACACCGTGGAGGCCGTTATGAGGCAGTTTGCGGCCAGTCTGGTCAAGGGGCAGGTAAGAGCACCCCCACCCCCGCACACAGCACCCCCACCCACGCACACAGCACCCCAACCCCCCGCACAGCACCCCCACCCCCCCACACAGCACGCCCACCGCCCCACACAGCAACCCATCCCCACACAGCACCCCCACCCCCCCACACAGCACCCCATCCCCACACAGCACCCCATCCCCACACAGCAGCCCATCCCCACCCCCACACACAGCACCCCATCCCCACACACACCACCCCATCCCCACACACAGCACCCCATCCCCACACACAGCACCTCATCCCCATCCCCACACACAGCACCCCATCCCCACACACAGCACCTCATCCCCATCCCCCCACACACACAGCACCCCATCCCCACACACAGCACCTCATCCCCTCACACAGCACCTCATCCCCACACACAGCACCTCATCCCCTCACACAGCACCTCATCCCCATCCCCACACACAGCACCCCATCCCCACACACAGCACCCCATCCCCACACACACACAGCACCTCATCCCCATCCCCGCACACAGCACCCCATCCCCACACACAGCACCTCATCCCCATCCCCACACACAGCACCTCATCCCTATCCCCCCACACACACAGCACCCCATCCCCACACACAGCACCTCATCCCCTCACACAGCACCTCATCCCCATCCCCCCACACACACAGCACCTCATCCCCACACACAGCACCTCATCCCCATCCCCACACACAGCACCTCATCCCCATCCCCCCACACACACAGCACCCCATCCCCACACAGAGCACCTCATCCCCATCCCCACACACAGCACCTCATCCCCATCCCCACACACACACAGCACCCCATCCCCACACACACACAGCACCCCATCCCCTCACACAGCACCTCATCCCCACCCCCCCACACAGCACCCCATCCCCACATAGTACCCCATCCCCACACAGCACCCCACCCCCGCACACAGCACCCCATCCCCACCCCCGCACACAGCACCCCACCCCCGCACACAGCAACTCATCCCCACACACAGCACCTCATCCCCATCCCCACACACACACACACAGCACCCCATCCCCACCCCCGCACACAGCACCCCACCCCCGCACACAGCACCTCATCCCCACCCCCGCACACAGCACCCCATCCCCGCACACAGCACCCCATCCCCACACACAGCACCCCATCCCCATCCCCACACACAGCACCCCATCCCCACACACACACAGCACCCCATCCCCGCACACAGCACCCCATACCCACACACACACAGCACCCCATCCCCGTATACAGCACCCCATACCCACCCCCGTATACAGCACCCCATCCCCACCCCCGCACACAGCACCCCATCCCCACACACAGCACCTCATCCCCATCCCCACACACACACACAGCACCCCATCCCCGCACACAGCACCCCATACCCACACACAGCACCCCATCCCCACATACAGCACCCCATCCCCGCACACAGCACCCCATCCCCACACACAGCACCCCATCCCCACACACACACACAGCACCCTATCCCCGCACAAAACACCCCACCCCCACCCCCGCATAGAGCACCCCATCCCCACCCCCACACACAGCACCCCATCCCCACACACAGCACCCCATCCCCACACACAGCACCTCATCCCCACACACAGCACCTCATCCCCACACACAGCACCCCATCCCCACACACAGCACCTCATCCCCACACACAGCACCCCATCCCCACACACAGCACCCCATCCCCACACACAGCACCCCATCCCCACACACAGCACCCCATCCCCACACACAGCATCCACCCCCACCCCCGCACACAGCACCCCATCCCCGCACACAGCACCCCATCCCCACACACAGACTCCATCCCCGCACACAGCACCCCATCCCCGCACACAGACCCCATCCCCGCACGCAGCACCTCATCCCCACACACAGCACCCCATCCCCACACACAGCACCCCATCCCCACACACAGCACCTCATCCCCATCCCCACACACACACACAGCACCCCATCCCCGCACACAGCACCCCATCCCCGCACACAGCACCCCATCCCCACACACAGACCCCATCCCCGCACACAGCACCCCATCCCCGCACGCAGCACCCCATCCCCGCACGCAGCACCCCATCCCCACACACAGCACCCCATCCCCACACAGAGCACCTCATCCCCACACAGAGCACCCCATCCCCACACACCACACAGAGCACCCCATCCCCACACACAGCACCTCATCCCCATCCCCACACAGAGCACCCCATCCCCGCACACAGCACCTCATCCCCATCCTCACACAGAGCACCCCATCCCCGCACACAGCACCTCATCCCCATCCCCACACAGAGCACCCCATCCCCATACAGCACCTCATCCCCACACAGAGCACATCCACCCCACCATCCCCTCACAGCACACCCCTCTCCCCCCCCCTGCCCCCCCCGGTTATCTGATGTCTTCTTTTATTTTCCTCAATGCTTTTTATATGAAAAATACATATTTCCTGGAAAAATAAAATAAAACCACATGTGATCGTAAAATCTAACTGCGTGTTGCCGATAGACTATTGGTGTTTACCTCTGCGCTTTCCTTGTGGATCTCCCTCCGGCTCTGGTGATTGCCAGCAGCAGAGCGAGCGGGCGGGTTGCGCCGGGTTATTTAATTGCTGGCGAAAACATGTGGGAGATTGCTATGGGGAAGCAATGGTGCGGCAAGGATTAAAGCGTGATCCTGCATTTTAATAGTGCTGAGCTCCCATTTTAGTTGGTGCCAGAGTGATCTCCTCTCTCCACCCCCATTGTAAATCATTGGTGGAGTATAACACCCCCCACCTCATCCTCTTCCACCTCATCTTCCTCCACCCTGGCTTTATATATTTCACCCACGAAATATACAGTTAATTCACTTTACAGTACATTCTGTAAATTGCTTTGCAATGTCTCAATGATGTGATAGGTGCTGTATTAAATGCAAGGATTATCATTATTATCTCACCACTGCAATTTATTATTAAGAAGGAATGCAATGATGGGGGGAAATTTACTGATAAATGAATTAGTTGCATATTTGGCCATCCGTGGAAAAAGTAGTAGCAACCCTAACTGCGTTTCTACCCCAGGTTCTGCAGCTGTACAGTACAATTATAGTGTTGTTATTGCTTCTGTGATAATTCCCAGGCCTCCTTCTAAAGAACATGTACAGCATGTATGCTACTCATGAGTTTGCTCATGGTGAGGGAAACTGATCATTTATGTCTCTTGGAACTGAACAGCCGACAACTTGTGATGTTCTCAATTGCAAAAAAANCCTTAAACCTGTCAAGTCGCGTCATTTCAAACAAAGTCGATCGAATTGAGGCTGTATTTCTTTCAAATGAAAATAGTACGATTTTTAATTAAGAAATACGAGCTGCACAAACAGTGCACACCAACACATGAGAAATAGAAATTTTCTGCACAGAAAAAGAAACATTGAGCCCACAGTGGTTGTGCCACTGGTGCATGGTTTTCTAAATCCCCTTATTTTAGTTATCCAATTTTGCAGCTCTCTATTTAATATTTTTGTTATATTCTGCTTATGTATGGTTTATTTTGCGAGTATTGCACTGGCGAAAAGACTGGGGAGTTGTTTGTCTAAATATATCCCCATTTAAATATATCCTCCTAATCTGAGAGGTGTAGATTTCAGTTCAGCACCAAGAAAAAATATTTTCAGCTTTCAAATAAAATCCACGTCACTAAATCGTTAACGGCAGCATTGAAATGAGGGAGACATTCAAGATTGGTTTACTGTACTTTACATCCTCCCAACTGTGGTGAACTGGATTTTAGTAATATAAATAGCATGGTAAGAAGTGTGAAAAAATGTGTTTTAATACTATATTAATTGAAATGATTTGATGTACAGTATTTTGAACAGGGTCACTGTGTAATTGTATACACTTTACCATAATGACAGTCAATGTAATTGCTGATAAGTGATTACAAATTGGGCACGTCACCAGTTTGACACAAATCAAACTTAGATATAGCGACTATGAGAAATTACTTGGCATCAGAGAGAGGTTGGCCACTACATTTTATATTGGCAAGTGAAAAACATTATTCTGTTCAGCTTGGGTTAATTTGTCATTTGAAAATATAGAATGAAACCCAAATGAGATTTGTTTGTTTTTTTGGACCAGTTCTGTTAATGTTGCAGTTCAGTCAGGTACCAAGATTGGTTTCATTGGCTCAACAATAAATTGCAACAGAAATGTGTATTTTCTTTTTTTAAAGTACGGAATTGTATACGAATAGTTAATGACAACCAGTCAGCTTCATTAAATTAGTGAAAATACAGCCATTGACACCATCTCCAAAGCTAAACCATTTATTATTTATTACTGTACATTTAAACACTATCTCAGGGGATTTCCAGCCATCTCCCCCTTGTTATTGGTTATCAAGATTAATGAAGGTAAGAAGTGAGCACAGAAACGTGGTGGACTCATATCTTTCTCCAAGAGCTTGTTTCCGCAGTTTGACCACAAATGTAGACAGCACTTTGTCACTGCGGCAATGAGATGCTTACTTTTCGTCTCAGCAAAAGTGTATTGGTATCAAATCCTATTCTTCTCAACTGAACCCCTTGTAAAATTGGGGTAAGGAGAGAGAATAAGAAGGCATTTCAATGTGGAAGCAATGTATTACACATCCAGGTCTGTGTTTGCTTTCTACTGTTTCACAAAGTATGAGTGAAGGCTACGAAAGATGTGTTTACGAAATTGGCATAGAATATTTAGTCAGCCATGAAATAGTCAGGAGAATTAAATTCAGGACCACACGTTAAAGAAATATTCCAAAAAATGTCATCTTTGTCAAGGGTACAAAGAACTCCACTCCCTTCATAAGTGCATTGAAAAAAAAGATGCAAATTGAACGGACACACACATGCAAAAAAATGTATCATGACCATATTAACCCTCTCTGCAGAGCGGAATTCGTCACGTCACTGGAGTAAAGCACCATGATG